ATTTATTACATTTTTATTATATTTTTATTTCCTTCTTTATTTCTTTAACATTGATTTAGGAATATATTCGAAACAACGTATTTCAGGCTATTAATTAATGTATAATCGTCTAAAGTCAAATTTCTTTCATATTGCACAAATTGTAAAATAGAACTAAAAATCGAGAGATATTTTTTTATAACAGACATCTCCAAGCAGTGGGACAAATTTGGATATGGTTCCTGAAGTTAGACACGAAGAAGACGAAAAGGACATAGTCGTTTTTTATGATCTGCGTGCTGAAATTATCAAAGATCCACTTGGCGGTGAAGTAAGAATTACGTTGTTGTACACGTTTGTTTCACTTAGGAAGAAATCAAAAGTGAACACGTTAATAGAGAAACAATGGCGACAGATGAAAGAAGTGTTTGTCAACGACATAGATTCAAATGTAAAGTTTGAGATCAGAAGTTTTATATTAGAATATTATTATAATTGGATAGTAAAGTCACGGGGTGGGGATAGTAATGCATTAAATGTATCTCTACGAGACAAGGTTTCATGGTTCTTGGAAGAACTGGATGAAGTTGTATCTAATCCGTCCATTATGAAAATGGACCAGTTAATGGATTTTAATAAACAACAATTGTTAAAACAATATTTATTAACAAAAATGGATATTATGGTTTTAAATATGAAAACGGTCACAACAATGCTTAAATCAATGCAACCAGAGAGTCCAAATACTGAACAGTTGTTTACAATTTTCGAACTTAATATTGCGCAAGCTGGTTATTATAAAATTTTGAGACAATTGTTACCAGGTGTTTTTGACATAGAAGACAAAATCATTACCGAGCATCTTGCCTTATTAGATCGTCTTTATAAAGCGGTGCAGAGGGAATATCGTGAAATATTAGCTGATGGAGCACAAGGAAATTTGGAAAAGTCAGTGCTAGATAAAAATTCTTATTATGATATGGTAATTGATTATTGGCAAAACGATTTGAAAAATTTTGAAAAATTTATTAAAGATATATTAAAGAAAACTAAAGGAT